CACCAGTTGCCAACAACAAGCCTTCTTTGAGTCTGCCGCAGGTGCTGAGCTTCTTCTCGCAGGCCGTGTATGGCGTCACGACAGATGGAAGCCTGAAGACGGCTCTCAAAGCCAGCTCAGAACCGAAAGAGCTGCTTGCGTCATCGCCGTTCAAGGAGATGCTGGAGGAGATCCTGGCGCTGATTGCACCGCCGCCTCATGGAGGCCCTGCGGCCATGGAGATCGTTGCGTGCACAGATACTGACTCGGTCGCGGTGGACGGCTTGACGCTCGCGACATTGGCGGTGCCCGCGGAGGTGATGAAGAAGCACGAAGGCTCTTTGACGACTTGGCTGACGACACTCCACGAGCACCAGTCGACATTTGTGCGGCTCATCTCCCAGGGCGATGGCGGCGTTGGTCAGATTGCTGCGCTCCTGGAGGGTTCCGTGGTGAAGCACCTGGACTCGGACCAACGACTGTTGATCTTCTACGACTCGAAGTGTGCAGGCGAGGCTTCGACGCAGGCTCATGTTCGCCTTCCAAGCTTCAACCAGGAGCGCTTCAAGACGATGATGCAAGCAGTCTTCACTGCCCGCAAGGACCTTCAGCGGGCCAAGTGACAACATTTTCAGGGATTTCGGCTGCTAGTTTATGAATCTTGACACGACATGTCACAGGATCCCGAGAACCACGGACCGTGCGGCTCCGACATTGTCATGATCATGGACGGTGGGCGGCAGATCGACTCCAAGATCACGAGCAATCTGGTCAAGGCCGATGGCCACCCTTGGCCCAGTCGGCATCGTCAGCTCTTCACTGTTTGCTACGACGAGAAGACTTACGAGATGCGCAGAGAGCGCTCGCGCGGGTTCGTTCAGCTCACCGAGGGTGTCCACTGCTACAGCAGTGAGCCCATGGTCTTGGAGAAGCGCCAGCGCTTGCATTTCTGGGGGAGCAACATGGCCGAGATCATCAATCCGGTGCCCCTTCCTGACTGGAAGGAGCTGTGGCTCCTGGACCGGCCGACGAAGCTCAAGCTCTACACGGCAAATGGACGGCACCTGAGTAGCGGCCCCAATCCGGATCCGGATTTTGTGCCGCCCAAGTTCGACAATGCGCGGGAGCCGGTGGCGTGGCACAGCAATCACGTGAAGCTGTATGAAGAATTGTTGGTGTCGTTTCAGTGCAAGGCCGTGGTGGATTTGACGGCCTGCGACGAGCAATTCGCCCTTGCATGCGTGCACATGAAGGTGCCTTACTTGGGCGTCTGCTGGGGGGACCGGCACAAGGAACTTCTGGACAAGCAGCTTGGGCAGCGGATGTGGAGCGAGTACCGCACAGAAGGCTCCGCGCTCTTCCGCGCTGATATGTGCGCACCTCAGTTTTCAAAGGTCAGTGGTAGTGGACTCATGTAAGTCAGCGAGTCAGCGAGTGAGTCGGAGCAAGCCTCCATGGGTCGGAGTGCGAGCTAGGTAGGCGAGTGATTCTAATGACAGCTCCCACGCAGGGCGCAGTTGTTCAAGAGCGAGGAAGAGCAGGGCACCGAGCGGGTCCAGCCGAAGGGGAAGGGGAAGCGCAAGTTGAAGACCGCTGGCGCTGC